GGGGGGGGGGGGGTTACCACAATGTTCTAATAATGTTAGAATAAATATGCAAACTCTTTTCCACCCAAATAAAAAAACACTATATGTTAAAGTTATGCCATGGGTGGGTGAAATCCTGTTGAAGTCAGGAGGCGTACCAACAGCCTCTGATTGAAAATGTAAGAGTATTAAGCTCCCTCAGGGAATTAGAAAACAGAAACAATAAACAGCTGTTACCCAAAAACATAGTTTAAATGCAAAAGCCAGTCAAGAAAGATTGTTTAAATAGGAGGCTTTCTCTGGGGACCAAATGCAAACGAACAGGATTAGATACTATTTTGATAGAGTTGCGTAAGCAAAAGCAGTCAGCACAGAATTCTAGTGCATCTGTTTTGATAGTCTTCTAGGAGAAACTATTAAGTGGTCTAGCTATGTGTTCCTTTGATATTTTACTCCAAATTAGTAAGAACTCGGCATTTACATCTGATCTCTCAGACTGTGGAGCAAAATTTTAAGTCATCATCAGTCAGCAGGTCTGGAAGTATCAGCTGCCCGATACAAGAGTGCATCTCATAAAGACATCATAAAGCAAGCCATCAGACAGCGAAGGACCCTACTGGTTATAGAGATTTTAAAATGTTTTCATCCTCCAATTTCTCTCTCTACTTTGGCAAAGCTTGAAGACACAAGCATCAATCACACAACAACTCTTCGCATCGCTTCACGCAGTCTACCCCGAACAGCAAGCTTACTTTTAAGTACCTCTAAAAATGTCACGATTAGTGTTCATTAAGCTTGCTCTAACATCTGCTTCTTTCTTGTGCGCAAAATTTTAAATCTTTGCAACATACTAATTTCTACTTTATGAAAATTCAATAAGAATCTCTCTTTTTAGACAACAGTGATAGTTGTCTAAGCCACGATTATCTCTACTAAGTGCACAAACTACCCCAAAACTTTTATCAGTTTTTTTTTACCTATAAAAAGGAAAACATAGTTTGGTTTGCTAACAGAGTAAGATTTAAAAATTCAATCTTTGAATCCCATATACCACCAAAATGGAATGGGGTTTGCCAATGTGCCTCAGCATTTTTAACTCAACTTGACAGAACTGGGCCAAAATCTAAAGAGGTAATTTCTATCCTGAAGGCTATTTGCAGCTCCAGATAATCACACATTTTATTTAGACAGTTAGGTTACTCCCTTTAGCTGCCAGTAATTCTGCATGTGCAGAGAAATAAGACTAATTCAAAGAAAAAGTTAGCAGTGCAAACGAACACAGTATTTAGTAATAAAACACTCCAGTTACCTCCCAAAAGCTATCACTGGAAACCTCTACTCCAATGGAATCATCATATGATCCAGACATTTCTGTATAGGAAGAGCCTGAAAGCAGTCAGTGTTCTGTTGTCAACACTAGATCCTCAAAATCTGCAGAAGGACAAAAAAAAAAAAAAAAAAAAATTATGAAAATGTTGTTCATCAGAATCCAACACCAAAGCAAGGTTGAGAGATACTTATTTTCTTAAAAAATGAGCTAATATTCCTATATGCAAGAACGCCAAACAAAGTACACAACTGCACAATTATAACAGTAAGGTATCCTTACTAAAATAAGCACCTTTTACCATAAGTTCATAAAACAACAACACTTGAATAGACCCTACCTTATACAGTCTAGAAAGCTGTTAAGCAATCTTATTACATGTCAAATTTCAATAGCAGTTTAATCTGTTATGCCATATCATCTCCTGATATACAAAACCAGTATCAAGTATTAACCTTTAAAAGTGACAATGATCAACCTAGTGGTTATAAGCCAGGGGTGGGCAAAATACGGTCCGCAGGCTGGATCCGGCCCGCAAGGCCATTCTATCCAGCCTGCAGGGCCCCTAAAAAATTTAGAAAATTAATATTTATTTGCCCTTGGTTCCTGTCAAAAATGCATAGCATGGTGCCAGCCACGGGGCAGGGGAAAGGCCACTCCCACCCTCCCCTCCGCACTCAGCTTTTCCCCAGGCTCCTTCCTGGTATGGGGAAAAGTGGCCCCTCCTGTGCCCAGCGCCCCACGCTGCAGGCATTCGCAGCCCACATGTGGGGCTGCCTGTGCCTGCTCCAGACAGCCCCACGCAGGCTGCAAGTGGCTGTGGCGCGGGGCACTGGGTGGGCGAGGGTCCACTTTCCCCCCCACCCTGCGCTCAACACCACCTTGTAACCCAGCCCCACTGCCAGCCTGGGCCCCCGCATCAGCTCTGGATTCGCCCATCAGGGCTGCACATGGTGACAGCAGCTGCGGCTCCCCCGCTTGCCACACCGGGCAGTGTTTGCCACTACCGCCTCTGGGCTGCCCAGCACGTGAGCTCTGGGTGACCAGCAGCAGCCAACGCTGCCCGGAGCGGTAAGTGGGGGGAGCTGCAGCTGCTGCCGCCGACGGGCAAGCCCGGAGCCAGCTCGGAGTCCAGGCTGGCAGCGGGGCCGGGTTACAAGCTGGTGCTGAGCATGGGAAAAAGGGGCTCCTCGCTCGCCCCGTGACAGGCACCCCATGATGTAGTCACTTGCAGCCCACGTGGGGCTACCTGTGCCTGCTCCAAACAGCCCCGCGTGGGCTGCCAGCACATGCAGCAAGGAGCACCAGCCATGGGGCAGGTGAGGGGCCACTTTTCCCCGCGTTCAGCACCAGCTTCTTCTCTTCCGGCAAGCAGGGGGTCGGGGCTCTGCACTGCCCCCTGCCTGTACCGTGGGGCTGGGGGGCACTGGGAGTGAGCACGTGCAGGAGCCCATGGAAGTACGGGGCCTGTGCCGGCAGGCCCCAGAGCAGGACAGCAGGAGCGTGGGGGCCCGGCCAGCAGGGGCTCTATGGAGCCAAGCCAGCTCCCCCCCTCCCTGCTGGTGCAGCCCAGCCCAGCTCCACAGACCCCTGCCAGCCTGTACCCCATTTTGGGCCCCACCAGTGCTGGCCCTGGGATATTGGTCCCAAGATGGTGACCAGGGGCACCTGTCAAGAGGTGGGGCTACCCATGCACCCCTCGACAGCCTGCCAAAACTGGGTAAGCAGCCCTCTGCCCAAAATAATTGCCCATCCCTGTTATAAGCTATTGAGCCTGTAAGTTTTTTCTTCTCTCTTCAGATATTTTATTGATTGCAAATGCCAGGTAACTATATTCAAAGAAAATGTATAGCAGTACTGCCACATGGTGGAAAGCTACACATAACAACCCCTCTCAACAATGTTTAAGGCCACTAAAGATTTTGCAACAGAAAGATCTTGAGAAAAAACATGCCACCCTCAACACTGAACATTTAAAACTTGAAGAATCTAAACCCAGGAGCAGAAATTTACAAATGTATACATTTACAAAGGTTTTTATGGAAAAAAAACCCACCTCCATGTCAAGTGTTAAAACAAAAAGTACACTTGCATGGAAAGACATACTTGATCTGATACATTTAAAAGGTGCAGAGTTTTTACCTATTTTCCCAAAACATTATTTGGAAAAGTGGGGTAAAAGCACTTATGTAATAGAAAACAGTTTGATTTTTTCCCTTTCAAAAGTTCCAATATCTTAACTGAAGTTGATTTTACATAGTTTCCATAAAGCTTTACCTTCCCATATATAAAAACTTAACTTTTTAAATAAATCTTACAGATTTATTTTCTTGAAGTTTTTACCAAAATTAACGCATGCTAGGTGCTGCCTACACAGACATGAAAACAGCCTCCGTCTGCAAGATGTAAAAATATAGGCAGGTGCAACAGTGTGACAAAATATAGAGTAATATAGAATATGTACACACCAACTATTCCCAAATGCCTCAAAACCAAAGTTTGATGGTACCAAGGCAGAATGTAGTCCATGGTAAAAAACAATTAATTCTCTCACAATTGAAACTCAGGGACTTCACTCATGACAAAGGCATTTTGATAGGTTTTATGACACCACTACAGGTAAATCGTCTGCTACTTAACAGAAATATGATGTTTGGTATTGTATAAAACAATTTCAAGAACAATTCATGCCATTATTATGAATAAATTTGTAACTCTCACTCCCTCTGGAGTAAAGCTGAAAGAAGGCAATGCATAATACCTGTTCCTCAAGCATGACTCCTTCTGTCATTGAAGAAGACTGGAAGCAGCTTAAAGCATAAGCAGGTGAGGGGGAGAGGTTTTCTGCACCTTGTTGTGGATGTGGGTTAGGCAGCATGCCTGGTTGAGCTGGAGTCTGGGGCAGGGAAGGTGCCTGGAGGCAGCTATCATTTAAAAACAGTCTGGGGAGCAGGGGACTAAGCCTTAACTTTATGTCTGACATCATTGCTCTTTATTTGTTGACATTTATGTATAACAATTGTAGGGAAAAATATGCCAAGAAATAGAGGAACTTCAAGTCTCAAATATTCTACCTCATATGTTGAGTAGCAGAAGCCTTCAAATATTTTAACATACTATATTTTATGGACATTTTATGCACTCTCTTCTCTTTCTCTACCCTCCTCATAAAACCCACAGGCCATTTTTTTCTGGGTTGGCTATGACCACTAAAGTTAAAAAAACAGACATCTTTTGTAAAACTATGGAGACAACAGGGACTGTATTATTATTACTGTACAACTAAATGTACCATTGTTAAATGTTATTTTTTCCAGATACAGGAAAGATTTCACAGAGGCACCCACATATTTAAGTGTTGTTGAAGGGGGGGGAAAACCCCACCTTGTCCTAGTTTGCAGTTCTCTTCCATTCCACCAAGCAGACTGTTTCCATTTACATGGCGTTAAACACAGGCTTTTTTTTTTTTTTTTATCCGTTAACTTAGACAATGTCTGCCTCTTTCTTAGACCTGAGGATGGGCACTCTATGCCCAAAAGTTTGTCTAATCTCTTTCCCAACTATGCTGGTGATGCAATAAAAGATTAGTCCATGAACGTTTGATGACACTAAAGATATAGATGGTATTAATAGCTTTAAAAAAGGACTAGTTTTCATTTAATTAGAATTCCCCTAAAAATGTGATTAGGAGTCATCTTAAATCAGTGGTTCTCAGCCTTTTTTATACCAGCAATGCCATAGCAAGGTGGGGGGTGAGTGGGGCAACCTCCCTAGGTGCCAAAGCAAAGGGGCGCCAACAGGTGCTGCCCAGCTGGGGCACGGCATGGGACAGAGCTGTAAGCGGTTCATTTGGGGGGGGGGGGCCATAGGGATGGGGATGGCTCCCACTGCTGCATGCACTTCCAGGCAAGCATGGGGGAGCATGTGCCCCATGGATCCGTGCATGGGGTGAGGGCAGGGTGCTGCTGCGGGTGTTGCCCCAGGCATCAAACTTTGTTACTATAGTATTGTGTACCAGGGCCATCTGTGAACATCAATGGCCAGTCCCGACCCAGTGCCCCTCACTCCTGACCCAGTGCCCCTTTCCCCCAGCGTGTGGGGCAGGGGGTGGGTGTGTGGGGGCATAAGGGGCCCCAAGCAGCCCCTTTCAGGCTGGAACTCTGCCAGCCTGCAAGGGAAAAGCCATCATTTCCCGTGTTTTTCTCCTTTAAAGGAAAATCCATTTTTAAAGTTTGTTTGCGACCCTTTCATATATTCTTGTGACCCACTTTTGGGCTGAAACCCACAGGTTGAGAAAAGCTGGCCTAAATGACAACAACATCCTTGGATAAAACTCTTTCCCCCATAGATACTCACTTTAAAATTTGTCAGTGGCAAGCTACCATCGCTCCCATATACACCTAGGTCCAGGCACAAGGAACTGGGGGCAAAATTTATTTTCCAAAAAGATGTTAACTTGTAATTGCAAAATGTCCCAACTGATTCATCACTTTACAAGAACAATATGAAGTAAATGGACAAAAGAATCTTGCAAGGTGATTAGCCACTTGGGCTACATCACTCATGATTTCTTTGTAACGCTGGCTAGAACATTTTGAGTCAGGGACCAGAATCCACTTCACTCAACTGCATGAGATGGAATAGACGAAACTCTGTGCGATTACCACTTATTCATTCAGTGTAGCTACCCGTGATAAAAATTAGCACACAGACCAAGAAGGCTTCTTCTGCTGTGGCAATTTAGATATCCACACAATCTGACCCACATGGAAGAAAGATGCAAGATCTACAATGAAGGTAAAGATTTTCCTACAGTTTGTAAAAGGCAAATTAAAAAAATCTAAGAGAACACATTAAATTAAAACACAAGCTAATACCAAATCAATGCTACCTCGACCTTAAAGCAATTATTTATCATCCTTCTTAATTCCCATATAAGCATAGATAGAAATGCTTTGTGACATCATCCAAGCACATCAAGGAAAATCTCATCTTATTATTTGTTAGCCTTTTTTCAGATAATTGTTATTATTTCTGTGCTGCTTACAAACAGCTAAGTACTTCTGACTACTTGGCATGCCAACCCACTGAAAAATATTTACTT